GAGTGGGCATTCATGTGTTGATAAATCTCTCTCCATCACATGTAGCTCCTTTCTCCCAGTTTCCCACTCCCGTGATTAGAATCAGCAACAATTACCTGTCTTTTCTGAATAGCCTAGTTAGGAATTCAGGGCCATCTTCTCTCTTGAGAGCCTATGGGATACTCCCAGGTAATTTGGGGCCAGGGACAGAGAGCAAATGGAGATACCACCGAGAGCAAATCTTCACCTGGCGAAAGGCAGTTGGTTTTAGGAGGTGTCCTGTCTCACCCACATTTGAAGGAAACAGAAGTTGTGCAGTTTTTAGCATCACAATATTGGATTTCTAGGGGCTGCTGGAATAAATAAGAGAGCCTATATTCTCAGTCACTGCCTGGATCTACATAATACAGGGACTCCTTCCTGCTGGTAGAATAGACAGCAGTTTAAAAAAAAAAAAAAATCAAGCCACCTTCCAAACACCCAACCGTGGATTCCAGATGCTTCCCACAAGAGCTAGGGGAAAGACTAAGTGTGACCAGAAGACCCAGGCCCAGGTCCCCTGCATCCCACTTCAGCCTCCAAACCACCAGTTGACAGAATGGAGATGAACAAGCCATCTGGGGACAGCTCTGCTGGATCCCAGGGCTGGGGGTGGAGAGGGAGGTTCGGCTTTCCGCTGCCAGGCCTGGGCAAGCAGAGCCTCTTCTGCCCCAAACAAATCAATTGAAAGCCTCGGCCAAGCCTGTTTGAGTTGGTGAGAGCCCAAGTGGGAATTCCAATCTGCCAGTGTTTGCTCTAAAGGCAAACAGAGCCAAACAGAAATGCTGCTTTTGGACTTTGTGCCAAATATCCATCGGCTTGCTCTGCCAGCGGAATTGGGCCAGCCCTCTGCATGTCACCCTCTCCCAGTTCCCTGATCTGTGACAGCTTCTGCTTGTGCCCTTAAAGGCAGCCTGGCCCTCCAACACCACAACCCAGTGGCCCAAGCCCATGGCTTCCCTGCTGGGTCTGGGTTCCAAACCATGCAGGTCTGCCTTGCAGTCTGTCCATCCTGCACCAGCTCCATCTGAAGACCCATTCACCCCCGCACCCCCATACGTTCCTGATCTCTGCTTCCTGCTCCAGGCTCCATACTTTCCTCCTCTACCTTGACACTGGCCCAGTCCCTCTCAACTCCTGACTGGCAAAGCCCTCTGCAGCTGCCTGCCCAGCAGAGGCAGAGCTGACAGTCAGAAAGCACAAAGTTTAAGTTATCTACATCTTTTTTCACATTCTCATGTGTATTTTATTTGATCCTTATAGCTGGTCGGTTTATCAGCCCATTTCTCAGAGGAAACAGCAGAAGTTTCCAAAGACCAGACACCTTGCCCAAGGTCACCAGACTAAGGAATCAAAGTCTCCTGACTCCAAAACCACGGTACTCTCTAACTTGCCTCCCTGAAGCAAGTTTTTATTTTTATTTTTATTTATTTATTTTAACACCTACAGCACCTGGTCTTCCTAAGTGGTCTCCCATCCAAGTACTAACCAGGCCCGACCCTGCTTAGCTTCTGAGATCAGACAGGATCGGGCTTGTTCAGGGTGGCATGGCCGTAGACCCTGAGGCAAGTTTTTAAATCTTTTGTTCATTTCCAGATGCCTGGGGCAATTCCCAGGATTCCTAGTGAGAGCAGACAGATGTGTTTTCATATCCCCCTAAGCAACAGTGGCACCCAGTGTGAGCAGCTGGCACTGTCTGCTTTGCCCCAGCCCTGAATCAAGACATTGCCTTAGGCCTTCCTGCCCTGCTGACTGGGCAACACTCCACCAGAGCACCCCTGGAAGCCTCCAGCCTTCATGATTAGGCATTAGTATCAGGGTCTGAGCTTCTCCTCCTGCCACAAAGGGCACAGACACCCTGCCTACTTCAGGCTCGCCCCTCAGGGCACTGGCACAAAGTTCTCTCCACCCCAGGAAGCATCAAGGCTACATCTCCTGCCTTCAGAGGGCTCCCCCATAGCACAGCAATGGGTCTCACACTCCAGAGGAGTTACTGTTTATCTGGCTGGATTATTTCCCCTACACAACCATGAGCACCAAGAGGGCCAGCAAGAGGACCTGCACTAGACTATGAGTTTCTCATAAGCACAGAAACCCCAGCACCCAACACAGCTCAGTAAATAGCAGTCAATGTATGAATGAAACCACAAGTATAGGCTTCCACCTGCCCTTGCCCTGTGTCCTCGGGGATGCCATTACCTAGGCCTGGAGCCCATGAGCCCACCCATGGGACCCTTTTGTGCAGCCACAATCAACTCTACCCCTCATGTGTTCTGCTGACCTGACTCTCCAGAGGGGCCTTTCTACACTCATCTGCAGGTGCTGGTCTCCCCATCTCCAGCTCTACCCAGAACTTGCCCTCCGACTGAGATGGCACTGCCAAGGTGACAGGCCTCAAGAATACTACTCAGCAAGGGAGCAGGGGGTCAGGCCAGCTGGGAACAAGAAATACAAGCCGCCCTGCTGTAACCGGGCCCTCGGACAGCTCCATCACGGCTAGATTGGGGTGGTACCCGAACCTTGGCAACTCTGGCAGCCATTTGGCCAGGAATGTCACAGAAAACCCCGCCTTTTTCAGTGAAGAGTCCTAACCAACCATAATGGGGGAAGCAGCCCAAAGCACCTGATGCTGCCTCTCTTCTGTCCCCTGTGTGAAGCGCCTTGGCGCTGCCTGCAGGCCACATCCCCAGGACAGGGCACTCTGAGCTCCATGACTACACAGTAGAGTCCTGCCAGTGACAGCTGACCCCTTGGAGCTCCACGACCACTGTGAGCCTAGGGTAAAGCAGAGTAGACCTCTAAAGAGGGATCCCCACGGCAGTTGGACTGCAGAGAGAGATGTAGCTCAGTCAAATGAGGGGTCACCCCCATAGATGAGCCCAGCAAAGGCTCCAAAAGGGAATTAGGCCACACCAGCTCAAAGGAGCCATACACCCTTCTGGGGCTGTTAGGGGCCCTTTGGTCTAGGGTCCTCGGCCAGCTTCCTCAGGAGCACAATGGATATTTGCTATTGGGGTCGAGGGAGGAGAGAGCCCTCAACCCCAATAGTGTGGCCCCTGAATATGGGCTCTGGCCAGGGCGAGTCTTGGGCCTCCTTTTCCCCACTCTTGAGGTCTAGCTGTGTCGTGTGTGTGTGTGTATTGGGGGAATCAGGCTTCGAGGGCACCTACCCAGACCCAACCGCAAAGGTGAGGAAACAGCATGATCACAGCAAGTGTGAAGAGATCAACTCAGAAAGCCTGTGTTTAATGGGGGCCTGTCACGGCCTTCGAGGCCTTCATTGCCTGGGTGCCATACCAAGCTACTTCTCATGGATATTTTCTGAGGAGTAGGACTGTTTCTTCTGGGGCAAGTCTTCAAGCATCAGGCTCAACACGTGCACGATCTCATAGTACAGCTCTTGAAGCCTGGAAGTGGAGTGGGAGAGGGGGCCTGAGCTTGCGGGGGGGAGCTCTGTGCCATCCAGGCCCCACCCATCACATGCTTGCACCTGCGTATTCACCGCACGTGGCAGGTGTAGGGTCAGGGAAGAGCAAGGACTTCAGAGCTTGATCAGGCTGGGCTGGAATCTGGGTCTGCCACTCTACCTGTGGCCCCTGGAGTAAGTTATTTCACTGCACATGTCAAGTTGGAGCCAACAAACTCCTGGGTTCATGTGGAGGTGGCCAGACACTGCATGGCCCATTCTGGGGCCAAGAGTGGGTGTTCCCTGATCTCTCCCTTTTTTCCCTCCAGTCTGTGAAGCCCTCCAGGGGGCTTTTGTCAAGAAGCCAGGCTAATCGTGTTTTTCTTTGTTCAAGAGCCCACCGTGGCTCCTACGCGCCCATGTCCTTCCCCTTCTTGCAGTAGTGGCTAGTTAAAACCTCAGTTAACTTACACGGAGCACAGCCCTGGGCCAGGCCAACCTCACTGTTTTTAGAATCAGCCCAACAGACTTTCATGTAACAGGTAGAAAAGAGGCAGAGATGTGCCCAGAGTTGCAGAGGAAGGTACCACAACCTTGCCAGGAATCTCTGCTCTGGACTCATCAGCCAGCGCTCCCCTCTCTGCCCCCTTAAAAGGACCAGTGAGGAGGGGCTTGGAGAGCTGAAGGAGCCAGCATTTAAGTACAGGACAGGGAGGGCTGGAGAGGGCCAGGGGAGCAGAGTCTCCTAACCATGGGCCTGTCTGTACAGCCTGCACGCGTGGAATTCTGTACCCCCAAAAAGGGCCTCGCCCCACCCACACTGTACATCAGCCATCACCCCCTATGCTCTCCCAGAGCACTCGACATGGCCTTGCACTCAAAGAAGTCAGAGGACCAGGACCAGTGGGCTGGGACTGACTTGCAGATTGTACTGTCCTGGTTGTCCAGAGTAGACAAGTAGACATCGATGAAGGGTAGGCTAGTGCCAAAATCATCCAAGACCATGGGGTCAGTGTGCCGCAGGGTCTTCTTGAAGTTCTCCACCAGCTCACTGAAACTTTTGTAGTCAGCATTTTTCTAGAGAGGGAACCATAAAGAGATCAATGACAAGGAGGAGGGGACCCTCAAGATACATAGAGTCCTGGGGACCTTCCACACAGGGCTCAGGTGGAGGGCTGACCCTGGCCCTAAGGTGAGTCCTGAGCCAAACCACAGGCTCACCCTAGCCCCTTCTGAGCCTGGATCCCCTGACTGAGGCAGCCTCAAAAACCACCATCTCTGACCTGAGGACAAATGACACAGAAGGAACTGGTCAGAGCCTGAGTGTGGCTCAGTGTGGTCTCACCTGCCCTGGATAAACCTTGAGCATAGTCAAGACAGATGTCTCCACCTCAGAGAAGAGGCTACAGAGGGATGCACCAATCACATGGAGGAAAGAGGGGCACTTGCCCTCATCCTGACTATTCCTTCAGCCATGACTGTCCATCTAGCTGTTTGTCCACCTACCCGTGTCTGCATCAGCCTGCTGACCTCCTCCTGCTGCCGCTTTACAATCACCTGCTTCTCTTCCATGAGTATCATGTGCCTCTCTACCCTCAGTTCCCTCTCAAACTTTTTGATGGAGTCCTGGAGAGTAGGATGAGATAAGGTGAGGGCTCTCATTGGATACCCACCCCCAGTCTTTCTTCTTCCCTTGCACTGCTGCTCAGGCCCCTCAGCAGGAGGACCCCCTCCACATAGGGCCAGCCCCCAACTCAACCTGCCAGTGCAGCTGCAGTGACTCCCCAAGCTCTTGTTCTGCTGGCCACCACCATGAGGCAGGGAAATGTACTGGCTCAGGGAAAACAGTTGCCTGGTCACCTCCCCTCCACTTTAGGAGGCAGACAGCTCAGGGTCCTCCCTGAAGTCCTGGCCCACGGCCCTGCTGCCACACCTAAGCCAAATCCCGACTCTCACAGGTGCAGCCTCACCTCAGTGTGGATGATCATCACGCCCACGAACATGCTGAGGAAGACAAAGGAGGCAAGCAAGATGAAGATGATGGTGAACGCCCGGCTCAGAGCAAAATTCCGGCTGTCCAGCTGCTGCTGCAGGTCTGTCCAGCCATCAACCTTCGCGGACGGAGGAGGGCAGGCTGAGTGCCAAGGCCCAGCAGGATGGGCCTCCAGCCCACCTACCCTGGGGAGCCCCTGCTCCACTGTGGAGGCGGCTGGCTCTGCCTCCACATCTGCCCCTCAGCATTCTCTGCCTCAATCCACTAACTCCAGTGCATTCATGGTGGTCTGGGGATTCGGGGCTCCGCTGAGTGGGGGGCACTTCTGGCCAAGGTGCCCTGGGGGTTCTTCTCCAGAAGGCCTCCTTGCCTTCCCCAAAAGACACTGCTTTTCTGCCAGGCTCTTCTTCAGAAAGATCCCAGTCTCCAGAGTCTAACAGAGTACAGACTTCTAAACTTTGGCTTTGCAGTTTATTCTGGGTAGATTTGTGACAGTCTATTCCCCCAAAAGGCTGTGTGACATGCGTTTCACCTCTAAATTAAACTTATTCCAAACAAATTATCTTTTGATAACTCTGAAAGTTACTCTCTGGCCTCTGCTTAGTCCTGGGAGGCCAGCCTCAGTTTCTCCAGCCCAGCTAAGTACCTGAACGTGAAAGCAGCCCCATGGGAAGCCCAGCATGTCCACACACTCGTACTAGCTGGCAGTCCCTTCTCAAGGCCCCTTCCTTCCACCCCATACTGTTCCCAAACACCTTACCGTGGCCAAACTGAAGAGGGTAAAGAAGGCCATAGCCAGGTTCCCCCAGTTATTCACGTCACCCCTGTCTGGAGCTCCAAATAGGCAGAAGCCCAGAATAGCGAAGATGTACATCAGGACGAAGAACAGGATGAGCACAGAGGCCACGGTGTAGGCTGTCTGCCCCACGGCAGTGATGAGTGTCTGCAAGGCAGAGGCACCGGGGCTAGGCAAGGCTGCAAGTTGGGTGAGAGGCAGGGGTCTGAGGGGACGGAGGTCCAGTCTTCCCAGACCACAGCTGTCCCCGGTATCCAGTGCCATGCCTAGCATGTGGTAGTTGCGTGATAAATGGTTGGATGGACAAAGGGAGGGGAACTCTGCCTGGATGGAGGGCTGGACAGTCTAACAATAGCTGACGCCTGCCCTCCTCCCCTTCCATCACTCACGGGCAGATCGCGTGCGCTGCCTCAGGTCTGGGGTAGTCTCCCCTCTGGCACCACCACCCATTCCGCTTGAAGCCCTGCCTGGCTTCGTGCTCATCCCAAGGTGTCCTACTCCTGCTTCTCACTGAGGGCCAGCTCTGAATGCTCCTCCAGACCCAGAGGTGTAGGGGAGCTACTCTACACATGGAAATGAAGAGCACTGAGAGGAACATGGCTTCCCATTTTTCCTGCACCCTGTTTCACAGGCAGGTCTCCATCTTGTGACCTTAGTCTTCCTCCCATGAAACGGGCATTTGTCTTGCCTCCCACTACACTGCCCACTCCTGGAGAGCACAGTGTATAGCTCCTCATCATTCATTCCTCATGCCCCCACGTCTCACATGGAGTTAGGTGCTCAATATGTGTTCACCCACCTACATGCTGTCACAGACATCATTTTAGGTAGGTAGGTGTTATCGTTCTTCCCATTTCGAGATGAGGGATCAGAGGCTCAGAGAAGCAAAATGGCTAGGCCAGGGTCACACTCCAACACAGTGGCAGAACTGGGACCAACTCTCAAGCCCTTAGGCACCTTCAACCATTAAGGCCTTTTTTTTCTAATATAAGAAACCATTTATTTGGCTTAACACTAGGAAAGAAGGTGCTTGATAGAGCTGCGACACGGGACAGTAAAGTTTGGATAGTTTGGGGTAATTTGGGAAACAAAGAGAACCCAACAGCACTGGGGCTGCTCCCCACGGGCGTTGGTTTGGCAGCTGCCTGCAGGGGTGAATGCAGGCTGGATGCCTCCCTCCTCTCTCTGGGGGAAGAAAATCAGTGTTTGGGGATTAATTGCAAAAGAGATGAGATTTAAAACAATGCCTCCATCCCTGTGAGACAGAGACAGAATTTCTTTCAAAAAAATGACTAAGACTGAAGAGGTGAGTCCACACAAGCAATGCTGCATGGGACACAGTCTGCAGGCGAGGTCTGCACAGGCAGAGAAGGAGGTCATTCTATGGTGATCCCCCTCCTAAAAATCCTCTTGCCTAAGGACACCTCTCCTCAGCAGCCCTCTGGAGGGAGGATGCCCATCCTGTTCCTTATTCTCAGAGTCCCTGACTCTGTGGGCAAAGCCCCTGCTTCTGGGCCGGGCCCACCTTCCAGCTTCCCACTCCACCTTGTGTCTCAGAATCTCTGCCTCCAGGCTCCACCCAATCCTGCTGTCCTCCTGGGGGCCTTCAGCATCTCTACAGAAACCTACCACCCCCCAAGCCTCTTTGTCCCTTGCCTTCCTTATCTCCAGTGACCCTTGCACCACTTTAGACCTCTGTTCCCTTGGGCCTGGAAAAACCAGGCTACACTTCCCACCCTCTGATCACTCCCTCACTCTGAGGTGCCCACCACCTGGCACTTAGCTCCCAGAGACTTCCGGTCTCCTTTCCTGCCCATTTGTCTTACTACTGTCCCTACCAGACATCTACTCCAATGCCCACCACCTCAGACACTCCCCTCCCCCTTCTGGGTCACATTACAGGATCTGTCTCCAGCCATGCTCAGGTCTGAAAGGAAGAGTGCCATGATTTGATGTACACTTTAAAGATTCCCCCAGCTGCTGGGGTGTTCCTGCTCCAATGCTCTCAATAGTGTGGGAAGCCATTGCAGGAATCCAGGTAAAGGTGGATGGATGGTGATGGAGAAGAGATGATGGCTGTGAGAGTGAAAAGTTATGGACAGGCAATAGCTATTTAGGAGGCCATGCAACAGGACTTTGGGAGAAGGGAGTCAAAGCTAACACTCAAATTTTTGACTTGGCAGTTGAATGGGGGTAGAGGGGACCTTTCACCAAAAGACAAAGCATAGGAAGAGGAGCCAGCGTTTTGGGATTTGAGGGTGGGGGTAGGGGGAGAGTGATGACTTCCAGTTTAGACGTGTTGAGTTTGAGGAGCATGTGAGATGTCCAGGAGGCAGTGGGTCTGAAGGTCATAGAGAGACGTGGGCAGGTGAAGACTCCTGAAAAGTGGAAAAGTGGAAAAGATTACCTAAATTGAATATGCAGAGATGGGAACTCAGGAAACAACACTATGGGCCAGGCAAGGAAAACACGTACCCAAAAAGTCATGCCAAGTGACAGGACAAAAGCCAAAAGAAGACAGTGATAAGAATGACAAGGGAAATGGCCAGTGGACTTGGTGACAAGGAGGTGTTTGGCAACCTCAGAGAGGCTAGTTACTTTGGAATGGCCAGAAGAATCCTGGGCATAAATGACAGATAAGGAAGTGGGGACTGAGAGTGCAGACACCACTTTCCTAAAGCCTCATCATGAAGAAAAGGAGAAGGAGGGCTGGACTATGTTATTTGGCGGGGGACACACACACGTGTGTGACTACCTGAGAACAAGGAAAGAATGAATGAGACTCTGTGGCAGGAGGAGCTCTTTAACATTCCTCTCATCTTCTCTGCCAAAGCCTGGGATACCCTGTTGGGCCTAGGTCCTGGGCAGATACCCAGGCTGGTCCAGAAGCAATCTCTCAGCAGAATGGGCTGACATACCCAAACTAGTCAGAGGTCCAAACCAGCTCCTTCCTGAAGAAGCATGGGCACTGTGTGCAGAGCCAGGGCAAATATCCTGTGTCCAGGCTGAATGCCTAAGGACATGGCTGGGCTAGCTCAGGTCTGTTCTGAAAAGTGCTGAGCCAAGGAAAGCCTGACTACCCCACAGCCTCTCAGCAGGAGCAGCATTTCCAGAGCTGCCCGGACAAAGCAATGAGACCATTCCAGAACATCAAGTGCAGCAACAGATTCTTAGCTACCTGGGGAAAGCAGTGAGTGACAGAGGCCACCAAAAAGCTGGAGACTCCTAGGCATGTAGTTCAAAGAGTGTGTGCCATAAGAAGATGGTACACTTTGTAGCATGGGAGAAAGTAAAAGTTCAGATGGCTTCTAGAGTCAGACACATCTGTGAAATCTCAGCTCTGGCATCTAACTGCTGAGCGACCTTGGGCCTCAATTTCTTCATTTATAATATGCAGCCAATAATACCTTTCCTACAATTGTTTCAATATTAAATGAGATAATATGAGTAAAGATCAACCTGTCACACAGCAGATGATAGTAGAATTATTATTTCATCAGGGGATGGTGGGCAGATAGGCCCTGTCACCTGCACTCTCTGAACCACGGCACCGCTGGTTTACTCACCCGGATGCCACGGCTATAAGTGATAAGCTTGAGAATGCGCAGGGACTGCAAGCCATCAACAATGTGGAGGAAGGGGTAGTACTGGCCCTTGATCTTGCGGAGACTGTAAGGGATCAGGACAATGATGATAACCATCACATCCAGCAGGTTGTAGCCATCCTTCCAGTAGTTGATGGGGTCCACGTAGAGCTTCATGAAGAACTCGGCACCATAGATGGACACAAAGACGATCTCTGAGACCTGAAGGGGTGGCAAAGTTCGGAGGGTCATACCAAGCTGCAGAGCCCTCTTGGCTGGGGGAGAGGGCACCTAAGTCACCCACGAGAGAGAAATCCAGGCAGAGTCCCTAGCACACAGTGCACACACAATGTGCCTGACTCCCTTCTCCTTCTGCATCTTCCCTACTCCACCGCCCTAAGCCGGGGTAGTTGGGAATGACTCACTGACCCACAGGCTGAGTGACTAGATAGGCCCCAGTATAAGGCAACTCAACACGGAAGGTGACCTGAATGTAATGTTCCCCAGAGACAAGATCCCAAGAGTTTTCTAGCCAACCCGAATATCCAAACTTTTAGGACTATAGATTAAATATTCATCTACTAATATTTACTCTATTAATCACACATACTTAAAAATCAGTTAATTAATCTGTTTCTAAAGAATATTCTAGGTTTTTTTCCACTTTTATGCTTTATAAAACAATCTTATTGAAATTCTTCTCATCTACAACTCCAGTGGCTTTGTTTATACCAAAAGGTACTTTTCGAGTCAGCTACATTTTTTCTTATCATCAATGCATTCATTCACTGGAGAAAGTTTGAGTTAGCATCTATCATGTGCCAAGCAGGTACCATTTTAGGCACTGGGAAATGAAACAATGAACAAGACAGAAAATGTCCAGCTCCTAGAAAGTTCACAGTCTAGGAGGGGAGACAGAAACAAACATTTAAACAAATTCCTATATAATATAATGGCAGATTGAAAGGAAAATCAAATAACCAAGGGGGATGGAGGGACTGGTCAGGGGAGACAGGAGGGGCAGCTGTGGCAGCTATTTTAGAAAAAGTGGTAAGTGGAGGCCCCACTGAAGCCAGAAATGGAACCATGATAAAAACTGGGAGAATGCTTCCCAATGGCGTGCATGGAGGCCCTAAGGCGAGAAACGGGTTGTTGAAGGAACAACAAAGTCAGCATGGCTAGAATAGAAAGGGGAGAGCAGGCTGTGGAAGGAGGGCCTTGTAAGCCTGGTGAGGGCTCTGAATTTTAATCTCGGCCTTGGAGGATTTTGAGCAAGGCAGCGATATGAACTGATTTGGTTTACATTTTTAAGAGCTCTCAGTGGTTGGACGTGGTTCCATAGTGTAGCGGTTAGCACGTCTGCTTTACATGCAGAAGGTCCTGGGTTCACGCCCCAGTGGAGCTATGGTCCATGGTCTATGGCCATGCCACCCTGAACAAGCCCGATGTCTGATCTCAGAAGCTAAGCAGGGTCGGGCCTGGTTAGTACTTGGATGGGAGACCACTTAGGAAGACCAGGTGCTGTCGGCATAAATAATAATAATAATAATAATAATAATAATAAAAGAGCTCTTGTGGAAAAGAGACTGGGTGGTGGGGGAGCTGGCAAGCATGGTGATTGGAAGGTGGGTCAGGGAAGAGGCAATAAATAGTAGAATTATTCTAGCAGTCATCCAGGCAAGAGATGCTATTTGGTTAGATTTGTTTGGGGAATAGTGTGGAATTGAAGTGGGCAGATTCCACATGTATTTTGTAGGCAGTGATGATGGGGCTTCCTGATGGACTCAGAGATGCAAAAGGAAGCAAGTAGTCAAGGAAGACTCTAGTGTTTCAGACAGAGACTGGGTGATGTGTTTCACTGACATGAGTATGGAGTGGGTTGAGGAGGGCTAGAGAGAGTTTCTGGAGGGAAATAGAAACATTTCTAAAATATACCACCTTTAAATATATGTCAGATGCTGCCACTGGAAATTGTAACACAAGTTGGGTAACATTAGAGCAACTGGTGTTTTTATTTGTCTTGTATACTTGTATTTGCGGCCCCCACACTGCAACCATTTACATATACTTTTTAAAACTACTATGTAACATTTAAGATACCAAAAAGGTATAAAGAATATAATGAATAACCATATACTACCACTCAGCTTAAGGAATAGAGTTACCATTATAGGCAGAGTCTCTTGTGGATCTCTCATTATTCAAATCCCCTTCCCTTTCCACAAGGTAATCTATGTAGATCTAGAGTATGTCATGCCGTGTATTTTATTCTTTTACCACATATGTATCCCTAAAAAATACACGGCATTGTTTCACACTTTTATGCATTATATAAATAGCATATACACTGAAGTATTTTTCAGAAATTTTTTTTCATTTAAAATTATGTTTATGAGTCATCCATGTTGATATGTGTAAATCTAGTTTATCGTTTCACTACTATTTAGCAATTCCACTAATGAAAATACTATTTATTTATCCAGTTCCCATTATGTTTAGCTTGTTAGTAAATTTTTACTATTGCAAAGAGTATAATAGCACAAAAAGGTTGTACAATTCTTATATATTTTACTGTACACATGTATAAAGTTTCTCTTATATACCTAGGAGTAGAATTGCTGGGTTGTAGTATATGAGCATCTTCAACTTCACTGAATGTTGCTCAGCTGTTTTCTGAAGCTATTCTAACAATTTACTTTCATATCAGCAATATTCCTATTGTTTGACTTCCTACTAATATAGAGTTCTTAATTTTTGTCAGTCTGATGAATAGTATCCTATTTTTTAATTGTTATTTCTCTACTTATTAACAAAGTTGGGCAACTGTAAATTGGCTGTATCTAATCTTTTGCCAAACTGCTGTTTTGTCTTTTTCTTATTAAAGACAATCAATATTTCATATATTTTGAATCCTAATCTTTTACCTGTTGTATGCATTGCAAATATCATCTACACTGACATATCTTTTCACCTTTTTAATGATCTTTTGCTGAACAGACATTTAAAATTTTAATGGAATCAAATTAACCCAACTTTTTCTTCATGGTTCATGTATTTTGTATCTTAAGAATACCTTTTCTTCCTGAGATCATATAAATATTCTGTATGTTCTTGTAAACATTTTAAAGTTGCACTTTTCAAGTTAGGTCTTTAATCCAGCTGTGTGTGCTATGAGGTAGGGATTCAACTGTATTTTTTCTTCATATGCACAATCATCCTAGTACCATTTAATGAATCTATCCTTTCACCACTCATCCGCAGTGCCATCTGACAGGTACCAACGTTTCCATACAAGCCAGGGTATGTTTCTGAGGATTCACTC